TTATGAATTTTTAACCAGAGTATATACGTTGCACCTAGTGTATTCCATCTCTTATGAATACTTAAGGTGCTGTACAAGTCTTATACTTGTATCTTGGTATATAGCATCCTTTAAGGTGAATAGCCCTCTTTAGAGGGCTATTCAACAGACTATGAGGGCTATTTAACATTTCCAAAATTTTTTTGATGTTGAAATGCCCTCCAATATTAAACCTGTTAAAGTAGTGCGTAACCTCGGCGCCTGGTTCGACTCGCATTTTTCTATGTCGACCCATATTTCTAGGTCTTGCAGTGCGGCATTTTTCTTGTTACAAAATATCAAGAGAATTAGCCAATTTCTGCCTAGGGATAAATAAGAAATGGTGTAGCATGCCTTCGTTACAAGTAGAATTGATTATTGTGATGGGCTTCTCTATGGATTACCGGACTGTGAAATAGCTAAGTTGCAAAGAGTACAGAACTCTGCAGCTAGGCTGCTTATGTCATGTAAAAAGTATGACCATATTACGCCCATTTTGATAAATTTACACTGGTTACCAGTAAGATATAGAATTAATTTCAAAATTTTATTACTTACTTTCAAAGCCCTCCGTGGCATGGCACCTAGTTACATCATTGATTTAATTCATACTAAGACTAATACGCGCCATTTGCTGCGCTCTAATGAAGGTGTTTTATTAAAGCATCCGGCAGGGAAAATGAAAAAGTCATACAGATCCTTCAGTGTGGCTGCGCCCACTTTATGGAACGCTCTTCCTGTTAGCCTCCGCAGCATCAAATGTATTTCTACTTTTAAGTCTAATCCTAAAACTTATCTTTTTAAATTAGCTTTTAATATCTGTTAAACATTAAATATATTTGTAAATTTCTAATATTTGTATAGTTTTTAGGTTATTTATTGTTGTAATGCGCTTTTGATCACCTAGTATGTTAAAAAGCGCACTATATATGAATAAATTATTATTATCATCATTATTATTATTACTTTAAGCATTTTCTTCCGGTGGCTGCAGTTTAATAATGTTCCACGTATTTTATTATTTTAGTGTTGTTGATAAATAGTGTGACTTAGTGATACTCTAAAAGTCGTCTTTTTAAAAGTCGGTCAACTTTAAGCGAGAATAGAGTAAAACATAGTTTCTCTTCTTGCAGTTAAAAAAGGAGATCATAAAATATTGTTTTGGGATTTTGTAGTTATAAACCTAGGGCAGTCACTAAGCTTTCATGTTTATATTATGTAGGCTAGAGCTTCAAAAGGTAGCACAATTTTTATAGCCTATTTAATTTTTTTCTTTTGTTTCCTCTCAATGTAGCTGGGGTTCGTGCTCATAGTAACAAGGGGACATCCCCAACCTCTTGCCTTTGGTGACAGCCCTAGAAAAAAAAAGTGGCAATAACAGCGTACAAGAGTTCAAAATAATTTCAGATAATCTATTTTATAGGGCTATTTCCCCTTTTTCTTTCTTTTGACAGCCAGTCCTTTCTTGGCAATGATAAGTATAGTGCGGAGAAAAAATTAATTTAAGGATTGGAAAAAATATAGTATTGCACTATTTATTGTTCATTGATTGATAAAAGAAACTGTCGTTGTTATTATTATTTCTTTTATTCCCAAGATATTAACAGCAAAGAGAAGAATCACACCCTACTAAAATAGAAAGAAATAAGTACTTGGTTAAACAGGGTAAGGTTTGACTTAAAAGTTTTAAGGTATAATATTATTGTTCCATTGAAAAGAACTCGTCAATTTCCAATCATCATCTAACTATGAGAGCAGAAAAAATACAATAAGTTAGTTGATGTGAGAAAAAAAAATCATTAGCTGTATCTATGTGCTGATGATGCAATTTTGAAAATTGCACAAAAAAGCACACACACACCACGTTTGATTGACAACACTGAACAGAGTAAATGGTACTACACTGTCCCATATGTGGAAGTTCTTTATCTAATTGATTGCACGTTCCACATGAATTCGAACGGAGGCAATTTGTTGTGTTTGCACAACTTCCCCTGGTGTCATTTGACCTTTGCTTCCAGCGAAAGGAGGGATGTTAAGGGAGACACCAAGGGGAAGGAGATCTTGCACAGTAAACCCTTTATCTGCCATTACGGAGTCTCCTCTTGCAAAAGATATATTTAGAAATCCTGAACGCATAACAATTTCTCTATCTGAAATATGGCCTGTGTATAGTTGACTGATGACCCCCAGGTGAGATGCCAACCAGACCCTTCAGAGTAGTGTGATTTTTGTATGAGCTAAAAAGCTCACTGTTAAAACGAAGACTCTTGGGCATTTGGCAGCGGATTTCAGTACAGTCAACTATGACCCTGGTAGAAGGGTGTTTCTTTTCAAGTCAGCAGGCATGTGCTCTTCAACTTTTTCCTTAGAGGGCCATATAGGGATGGTGCTGAACTTTAGAAACATTAAATTAATCCAAGAAATTACAGTTCGACTGACAGTTGCTTAAGAAATACCATACAAACGACTCGAATGCTCCTCTTTAAAACCCTGTCTTAGACGGCACAGAGTTAAAAAAAATTCCTCCCTTGGGCTCAGTTGCCTTGGCCTTCCTTGTTTAGGGGCATCCTTGTCACTTCCCTGATTCGCATTTGTCATATCATCTGTGGATGAATGCCAATAGTTTATGTTCTCACCTTGCTTTCCCAGGATTTAAGTACCGAAGAATANGTGTATAGTTGACTGATGACCCCCAGGTGAGATGCCAACCAGACCCTTCAGAGTAGTGTGATTTTTGTATGAGCTAAAAAGCTCACTGTTAAAACGAAGACTCTTGGGCATTTGGCAGCGGATTTCAGTACAGTCAACTATGACCCTGGTAGAAGGGTGTTTCTTTTCAAGTCAGCAGGCATGTGCTCTTCAACTTTTTCCTTAGAGGGCCATATAGGGATGGTGCTGAACTTTAGAAACATTAAATTAATCCAAGAAATTACAGTTCGACTGACAGTTGCTTAAGAAATACCATACAAACGACTCGAATGCTCCTCTTTAAAACCCTGTCTTAGACGGCACAGAGTTAAAAAAAATTCCTCCCTTGGGCTCAGTTGCCTTGGCCTTCCTTGTTTAGGGGCATCCTTGTCACTTCCCTGATTCGCATTTGTCATATCATCTGTGGATGAATGCCAATAGTTTATGTTCTCACCTTGCTTTCCCAGGATTTAAGTACCGAAGAATACTTTCCAAAACGCTAGCATTGGGAAATCCGTTATAGAACGACAAATCTTTGTCTGACGTGATAAATCTGTCTATTCTAAATACCTTTGCTTGAAACGAATTGTTCTTAGCAGATAGCCGTTCTATTTCCATCGTGGGTTGTTTGATTTTTCCTTCTCGCTTAGCCTTTTCAGATTCCAAATTACGAAGTTTTTCTTCGCGATCGTCCAGCAGCTCTTCAGCAGAAGAATTGTCCAAATTCTCAAGATCGGGAGACTCCTGATTTTCCCGGGAATCTACAGGAGATGACACACACGTGGAATTGCTGCTGTCGCTTATCGTTGTCGTTTCGGAGGTTTTCTTCGGGCTTTTTTTCTTGATCGGACTTCTATGCTTTGGTGCTCTTTTTTTGCTGGCGAACCTTTCGTCCAAGGAAATACGGATGGGACAGCAGAAGATTTTAATGTTTTCTTGCGACCTGTAAGCGAACGGATGTAATCTGGTGGCTTAAAATGGCGAGAGCAAACTCGCGAGTTTTGTGTCACTTGAAAATTTACCCCGATATCTCGTCGTATTGCAATGCCGGAACACACCTTCGTCGTCTGGAAACTTATGAAAAGAAATTTTCACGCCATTTTCCTCATACCCTTTCTTAGTACAGTATGGAACAGAGCAACTTTGAGGCATGATCGCACACGATTACCATATGTAAACACAGAATGATCTTGCCGCCGGCCCTGGATACCTCGTTTTCCACGCCGCTCTCCCCAGATCGATTCGAGCGACCTCCATTTTGGAATTAGGTGTATATCCTAGATTAACCTTGCTAATTGTTCGTAAAGCAGTATGTTAATTTCGCTCATCTTTTAATGTCGAAATAAAACTACTTATTACATATCCAGTGAATACAATTGCCTCACGTCACTCCTCGCAGTTTGTATTCGAAGGCACTGGAAAGACTCGAATAATTTTTGTACTTTTCCCTAACATAAACTAATAATTGTAGAATGAATGGGAAAAAACCTAACGTCATTTACTGGCCTCCGTTTAGGCTCCTAAGTGTTGTTGTCATTTTTTAAACAGTGTTTTAGTTTTTTTGTAGGATTTGCTGAACACATTTAGAAAATGAAGACAGTAATTTGTGGTCAAGTACTCTAATTTGAGAGGGCAATCAATCTTTCTGTATTAAACAGCAACAAAGTTGATTTTGTCATACAAGAGAGCCAGAAGGTGGCATCTAATTTATTTATGATCGGAAGTTGCTTTAAGCTTTATTCACCACTTCTGAGGTGTATCTATTACCTCTTTCTGACTGGGACAAATTAACTTTGTTTACAGAGGGTTACTGCATGTATTAGCTACAGAGTCATGTGTTTTAGATTCGGTTAGTGTTCTTCTCTGAAACGGTCTGAATCACACTGTTTTTCAAACCAAAGATGGACTTGATTAGCACTATTATTGTATACGGGTTTTTAGAGATCCAAAGCAAAAATGTAGCTGTAGATGATAAACTTACCAAGATGTATTCTAAATCAAACAAGAACGCTCTTAGTAGCGTTGAGTCTCGCTTGCTTGGAGATGAGTTTTAATGTCAAAGGCCCCGGTGCCGTTATACTACTTTTTCGTTTGGAATACAAAACGAGTGTTGTATGTCATAATGTATGTACTCAAAAAGTAAAAATTGCAAGGAGAGACAGGCTGCACATCTTAGCCTCAAACCGGCGTGAAACCTTTGAAAACCTTCTACATATTGATATTGCTCCATTGAGGAGTACTCTTTCAGGGATTCTACACTCGAAAAATTGAACGATGATTTTTATCGGTATCAGGGGCCCATGACTCTGTCAGTATAAATATAGATAGCTTCTTGGTACCGGACCAAGATACGGCTCGGTACAGTATATGTTCAGCACAGGAAAAAAGTGTAAGTTGAACAGAACCTTATACAACACACAGTTAATTCAGTTCGTGCGTATTCCTGCTGAATTTGTTGTCCGTTTTATAAGATATCAATATCGCATGAAAGTAATGACATTTTCCATAGCTGCTTAGTATCTACTTTTAATATCTCCGTACAGTCTCAGAGTACAATGTTTAGAGTTGTACACAGCATGCATTTTAGATAGATAGATAGATAGATAGATAGATAGATAGATAGGCAGATAGACAGACAGACAGATAGATAGATAGGTAGATAGATAGATAGATAGATAGATAGATAGATAGATAGATAGATAGATAAATAGATAGATAAATAGATAGGTAAGTAGGTGGGTAGGTAAGAACCTTGGTTTATGCACGATAAAAAGATCAGCATTGCTGGTGGGGTCGTGCATACAACAATTACAAGAAAAATGAGGAGTACTGAAAGCAAATGTACACTTAAAAATTAAAAACTGTTAAAAGTTTTTTCTTGTATTACAGTATCACCAGGATAAAGCGTTTCATTTTCCCGGAAAAGTTCACTTTCTCGTCAAAACAATCACTGACTCAGACAGACTCGGATTAGTTTACTTGAATTTAGCGTTCAGTACAGCGAACGGGGTTATGTTCTGTGAAATTTATCTACAGTCTGCGGCCCACATCATCACTGATCCACGATTTATTTATTTATTTTATTTTCAAGTTCTTTTTAACCGATCCTTGATCCCTGATTTCTCGATCCTCGATCGTCGATCCTGATTTTCCAGTAAACCTTGAAGTTTTGCTCATTAAGATTCTTCTTTTTTTTTGACCACTAAAGTGATCAGTTGTTCCAAAATAATCAACGCTTTCAAGCCATAGAATTCTTGGACCAACCCTTTCCGGAAAAGCTCGATATGGGATTTCTATTAACTATGGACCGTTTATATAAACACACCCGTGACACGTTAGGGTGGATTTCCACTGATGGGTTTTTGGTTCCGCACGTTAACGCACGTAAATTTTAATCACGTAAATCAAATAGAGGTAAGACATAAAGTATTGAGATTAAACGTCAAATTAAGCGAGTTTCTACTTTTACGCTTACATAATTGTACGTGCAGCCTTTCATACATTGCCTTTATTTTATTTGCGAACGCAAATTTTACGCATGTGCGCACGTAAAAATTACGTGACAGTGTATACTTCATATCTCAAGTATTTATGAAGTGCAACACGACTTCACATCGTAACAACTGCGAAAATCTATCAATTAAATACATAAAACAAAGTGAATCTATTTAACCGTACATTTCCTGTAATTGCGACAATATTCTGAGAAACGTAACGCCTTAAAAAGCCACAAAATCCTGAGGATTTCCCCGCTATAATATTTTCTAATCCTGCTTGGGGATGTGCCTGCATGTCGTGCATAATTACACGAAAATCAAGGGCCTCCATTCGAGGAAAATTACGTCATGGACAAACTTACATGCGTCATTTCAGTCATCGCCGAAATAAACTGCATTCTCATCACGAGACTCATTTCCATACAATGAAAGTCGTCACGATTCTTATCCCCAGTTTCCACGGTCTTCGCTAGGAACGCGGGGCCTACAAACTAGGTCCCACAGACGAAAAAAAAAAACAACTGCATTTTAAGATTCTCGCTTTGCTCAAGCAAGCGAGACTAATTACCAAGTTACCAAATTACCAAGATGTATTCTAAATCAAATTAATAAAACATATACCTGTACTTGTTTGGGGTATGAATTTTTTTTTCATCAACATGTGACCAGACACTTACATTTTTTCAAGCCCTTGTCCACTTACCTCAGGCTAAACAAAAATCCTGGATGTCTGTTTTTTTTTTTATAATCAGCTTCTATTTTTCTTTGGGAACAGTGTTAATGTCCACTTTCAGAGGTGATTTGCAGTTTTCCCCATCCATATCATTAACACTACAATACCAAAACAAGAAGGTTGTTTTCATCCTAAAAAGGGTCAGTATTTCAAAGATGATATATTTCTAAGCTTTATTAAGCCTTATGGAAGACAAGTGTTTCTTCATGAAGAGGTGACGGTTCTACTCTTAACCAGGAGAGTTTGCTTCCCAGTTGTATTCTGGTAGTTAACAATGAACTGTTTTACATAATATTTTTAAAAGCGTTGCAGTTCGCTTTCTCAAAGACCTAACTGAAAACTACCTTGGGTCATTGCACATTTATACCTGAAAATAACAAAACAACTTGCTTTGCTATGAAAAGTGATTTGAAAAAGTTAGAAACGGCGATGGTCCGCAAGCAGATCACGTCAGCCAGTTTCCTATCCAGTTTTTCTATTATCCATTGTTTCATGGGTTGGTGTAAGCGACCTTTTTGTTCTCTCTTGGTTTGGTGTAAAACCATGGTGACGTTTAGGAGTAGGGTGGCGGAAGGGTGTGGCTTGGGTTCAAAAATGAGGAGAAAGGGAGGAAACAGTTTAGGAGGGCAAGCTTAGAGTGGGCAGTTCCACCTTAGCCGAACTTAGAGACTGCGAGGTTAAGTTTGCGCAAAAATGAAAACCCACAATTAAAAAAACAAAACAAAACAAAAGTAAAGTGAATCAGCAAAACGTTTAAAATTTGTTTATTGAACGCAAAAAACATAATATTTTCAAGAAATATTAACAATTTAATTGCTACCTTGAGGTTTTTCATCTTATCCTTTTTTACAAAAAATCTGATGACTTACAAGTACCATATTTAAAACTGTAGCCATCTTTGAAATACGTTAAACTGAAACAAAAAGAAAATGAAACGAACAAAGCGTAGTCTTTTTCAGACACGGCCATCATCAATCACACAAATTAGCACGCGCTGAAAAAAAATAAATTGGGCGCATATGGCAGCTTAGGCCCGGTTCTAACGTGGAATTTCACACGTGCTGCACTTAACACGGAGTGCTACGTTTGAATCAATTAAATTCGACTGTTTAAATTTAATGCGACGTTTGCCGTATCTGCGACTGAAATAGTCGAAGATTCGACTTAGGTTTGACTTTTGATTCAAACGTCGCATTTCACATGTGCCGAACTTAATGTATGAATTTTAGTATTAAATTATCATTATATTACTGGGAATATTGACACCGAACAGAGTTAAATTCGACGTTTGAATGCCGTATTTAACTGTTTTAGTCGACTAAAATAGCAATTAAGTCCAGCATGTGAAATTCGACTGGGCCGAACTGGGCCGGGCCTTAAACGCCCTCCACAATGTACAATGTTCCGTAATACTTAGCTATCACCCAACGGTTACTCCTAATAGAACTGTTTCATGCTGCAGTTCTTGTGAATCGTTGGTGCAGTCTTCAAACTATTTATTTCTGCGCTACTTTTACCTCGTTAAGACAAGTTCTTTGTACTTGTTTATTATATTTCTTTATTACTTGCCGAGGCCTCCATTTCATCAATAACTTTGACTGAAATTTCCTATCCCCTTTCATGTTACAAAGAAACAAGTCAAACTGTTTTTTATTTCGTTTTGCTAAATGGGTTTGCTTACTTGAAAACCAAACTCAATTGTGAGACTGCCGCTAAGTATTTTGATAATTAATAGAAATTTAGCTCCTTTCGATGTATTCTTTTTTGGCTGAAAAGTGCCCGCTGTTCAATTTTCGCGAAAATAAGTGACAAAAAGATAAATACAAAGGTGACGACGGTTAGCCTTATTAGAAGCTTTTGAATTTTAGTCGTTAAAATAAAATGTCCTCGAGGATTATTAAAGGTAATATTTTAAAATCAGTTCTAGGGTTCATTAAAAGTACGATTGTGCAGAAACAAAACAAAAAGATGAGTTATTTAAAGAACGAAACGGCAGAAAATACAGTAGTGCCTTTTGGGCCTCAAGAAATTTTTTGCCTAAACTCTACCAGAAGGTACTAAGAAAGTACGGCGTTATGCTAAACTCGTAAAGTTGATATCTTCAGGTCGCAACTCGCTCGTTTTCCTTCTCTCGTTCTTTCACGTTTTTTAGGCAAAAGCCTCAAAAACCGCCAACAGGAGTAGATATCCTTCAAACAGATACGTTGCTCTCACTGAACCTGAGCTGTTTGAATTTGCAAGACTTCTGACGTCGCTTTCTGAAAGAATAACGAGCGACATTGTCACTAACTGAATAGTCAGTACCACTGAGATCAGTACATATGTAATGTACTCCAACACGAAATGTAGCATACGATTTGGCAGGAAAAGAACTACTTTCCTTACCGAAGAGGTGTACGACAAGGATGTGATCCTTTTCCTCCACTGTACAATGTATATTTGAACGAAATTACCAACCTCCCGAAAGCATGTGATTCTAATGACCTTACTATTCTCCCAAAAGGTTCACCAGTAAGTTGTTTATTCTACGCTGACGACTCAGTTTTACCCTCAAGCAGGATTAAACACACTACAGAAATGAAATACTCCAGGGAAATTTTTGACGCTGTTTAAAATACTCTTTAGAGGCAGTCTTAAGTCTCTCTGACTTAGGTGCCACATTGGAGAATTTTCTGATGATTTTGAGGCATTTATTCGTGCATTTTGCTTTCTTAAAAGAGACTAAAATTTGCATATTTTAGCCGCCAACGGTCGTCCAGCATTGAAATGCTGGGAATGGCAGTAAAATAAACAATTTTCTCAATCTAACTGCAATTTCGTTATTAGAATAGATAGTAGTATTGATGATAAAAATATAAGGCAAAAGTTTTGTCGAGTCCGAAATCGAGTGGAACGCTTTTGGGGAGACTGCCTCTTAACACGATTTATATCAAGTCAAAAAATTTCAGGCTTTCACTCCCTGTTATTATTCATGCAAAATACGTCCCCAATTCTGATTGGCTGAAAGCACACGCATAATTCACCATAACCGGTTACTGATGACCAAATTTGAAAGAATTTTGTGTTTAAAGAGGAAATGACGTCAAAAATGGAGCCCGCTACAGGTTAAGGCACCGTTACCGAGATGACCCGGGGGACGAGGTGGAGTTGTTTTGGTTGTGAAAAAAGAATGACGGACCTTTCACTCGTTTCAATAGTAAGAATTGCAGCTGGAACTAGGCGAAATAATAGCTAAAAACATGGCTAAAACAGCAAGAAGACAACTCGGAGGGCGACATCTGCTATCTGGAAAATATTTGCGGAGCTGGATAAACGTAAGCGTACACTATCAAAGATGAACTTAACATCGATTCAGGTAAGCATGTTTTAACTATGTTTTTAAACTAGGAATTATTTTGAATGAATAATAAAGCTAATAATAAAATTCTACAAAAATTCGGCTTTCGTAGGATATGAAGAATTAAGCAGACTTAGGAGGGTGCCGTATCCAACAACACCCTCCTCGATCTGCTTAATTATTAATATCCCACTCAGCCTCATTCATTAATTGCTAAATATAAAAACGCTAATGCTCATGTTAAACTATTACTTAAACGTCACACGCGCTATCGTATGCAGTAAAGGTCTGAATCAAAATGGATGCCTTTTAACTATCGCAAATGCTAAAAACTTTCAGTCAGAAACCAGGCTAAAAGGAACGTGTCTTATCATATTTCACGTTACGTTCAATCTGGCTGAAGATTTTCTGACCAAGTTATGTATGTGATGCAAGTTGTGCATTGTATCTATAGGCTGCTGTTTCTGACATTCCTGTTTACGGTTAATCGTGTGCAGATCTTTGTGCAGTTAAAAAATCGTTAACTACGCTTTAGAGAAACTTGCCCCAAAGAAATATCGACATACAACTGTTTGGAGAAAATTATAAGAAACTGTTTCAAAAAGCTAGGAACCTTTCCAATAATCCAATTTATGCATTTTGATGAATTGCACCATTAAAGATTCTTCCAAATCAGGTAGGATACTTAACGTCTGTGGCCTAGTCCTTTTGTAAATAGATTGGTTTTTAAATATGATATGTCGATCTTAAAGTGTATTTTAGTTTTGAGAACTCTAACTGCCGCAAATGACCACTTACCTGTCAGTTTAATGGTGATCACGTTTGAGGGTTCACTAAGGCCAAGACTGTTAACTGCTCGCACACGAACAGTGTATGTTTCTGACCCTTTCACTGGAAGTGCGAACCTAGTTCCATTAACAGATTCATGGTTAGCACTGCTCCATTCTGTCTTCACAGTCTTGTGCTCGACAATGTAATTACTAACTACCGTTCCACCACTAGATTTCGGCGGCATCCAAAACAGCTCCAGTTTAACAGTTTTTGAATTCTCATAGAACACCAGACCTCTTTTCAAATTTTGTGGTGAACCAGGTTTTTCTAAAAAATATAGCAGTTAATCATATTTGGGAAGCACCTTTTCTTTCAAAATGGGGGCTACATTTAACACCGGTTGACACCTATAAAGCCATTGATGCAGATCGAGGCAGCACCTAATATTAAGATTAAGTTAGAGGACTTCCCTACATTTAAACGTTAAGGTGACCCGAACCTGGAAAATCTGTCTTAGGGTTTCTAAGTTATTTACATTTTTTTTTGTAAAGATGCGGTTGAAATATATGCCGATATCTCGAACGTTGTACTGCATACCTACAAGAAAACAAATAACATTTTCTTAAAGTTTCACCATTCTTTACTAAGAGTCTACTAAGGATGACAAAAATCATAATAATCGCTTAACTCGTTCCTGCCGAAAAACGGCCATTCAAAAACATAACCGACACTCATATAAATAGGTTCGGGCCACGTCAATGTAACAGTGATTTACACTGGACGAAAAAATGGATTTACTAGGGTAGCCAAATTACAGCAAATGTGTAGCAAATACCACATTTGCACAATTTTGCGCAAGAGCAAAGACTGATATTGCACTAGATTTGCTATCCGTAGCAATGACGGTAAATGCCACATTTGCACAACATTTACATCTTGGTGCAAAGATAATGGGCAGCCATGGATTTGAGGGTCATTTGCAGATGGTTCAAATGTGTAGGCAAATATGTTTCTTTGAACTATATTTGCACATTACGCAAATGATAGCGCAAATCTGCTGTTTTGCACAGCTTTTGCTTTAGATGTAAAAGCATGTAAACCTGTTATTTTCAGAACTTTTACGCGGCTTTGCAAATGTGAGCGAAGTATCTAATTTGAACAATGTTTGCTTGGGTTATCATGGGTGATCAAATTTTCATAATTAAACCAGATTGCTTTGCATAGCAAATGTAACCAAACTCTTTGTATTAAACATGTTTGCTCACGAAGCAAATGTTAGCAAACCTAAACTTTGAACAAATTTTCTAGGGTGTGCAAATTTGATCAAACACAGAATTTTGCTTGTAGCGGCAAATGTGGTCAAAAGTCAAGTTTTGAACAAAGTTGCTTAAGCAGCAAATCTGATCAAACTGTTACTATTGTACAATTTTTCGCTCAGGTAGCAAATGTAATCAAATTCTGACTTTAATTTGGTTGGCAAATGTCATCAAACCCATAAAATTGAGCATGTTTTCTCAAGTAGCAAATGCAACTTCGAAGGTTTAAACGAGTTTGCTTGGGTTGTAGCAAATGCGATAAAATTTTTAAATTATTTTTAATTATAACATGGCTCACTTCAGGTTCCTAACAAGTGGCCATAATTAATCTTGAAGTTTATAGCTTCAAACTTTAAAGTTACTGAAAGAAATTCTAGCAGTGACCTCCCATTAATGTTCAAATGATTTATTCCATAAACCAAAGTGGCTTACACATTATAACAGACTTTACAAACTACAGTATACAGCTGTACATACAGCTCTTCATATTAATTCCCAATTTTACAGTTCGTTGATGTTTACTTGTCTCCACTCTATGCTCTATCACATCATTACTAACTATTAATATTATAAGGAAATTGTTCTTCATCTAAATGTGTAAGATATTCTACATACAGCTGTAGGTGTTTCAGAGTTGCCTCAAACCTATTTCAGTTGTTTAGGTTTTTGCAACTCAGAAACAGGTTAAAAATCCTTTTACCCTTGGACCAATATTTACTTATGACAAGACTATTGTATCTAAGGACAAAATCCTGTTCCAACTAAATGGAACCCTCAAGACACCTATTTTAATAAATAATTAGTATTTTTGTATTTAGTGCTATTTCCAGATTAAACAAAATTTGATTCTGGTGGCATTTTTTTCTTTAGGCTCTATTAGAATGAAAGGCCTAATTCTTGCTACCAATTTCCAATTTTTGCTGGTATAACAACTGGGTTATAGCATTTAGCAAACTAAGAAATAGTTTAGGTACATGTAGCTATTCATATTCAGATCAGACTTCTTTAACTTCATTTTTGTTGCTTATGGTTGGTGTATAGTATTGGATATGCTCTTAGAGGAAGCACCAGCTGGAGCTTCTAGTACTTGCCGTGTTCTAAGAAAATTGAGGGTCATTAACCCTAACCCCAACCCTAACCTTACCCTAAACCTTATGAAAAGGACAAGTGAGGCTAGAAAACTGGAGAAAAACTAGAAAAACTAGAAAAACTGTTACAAAGAAAGACCCGAGCGTAGTCTTCTTACAAACGAACAGTTTTGCATGCCACCAACTCAAAAACACTACACCTCGATCTCTGATCATCGTTGGTGGCAGGTGATCAGAAGAGAGCTGTAGAGTTTTTTCCCTTACCTTAAACTTCGAAACCTTCACCTAAGCCACAATCGTTATCAGGACTTTATACAACAACGAATACATGGCTGTTTGTGATTGTTTAAGTTCTTTTTATAATTTGTAATATTTAAGTCACGAAACTACAGCATGAAAACGAACCATGTACTAGTCCTCCATTTTTAATGTACTGCGCAAATGCAAAATACAAGGAGCCTGGAACCCAATATATTACACTCCTCCCGAATAAATGGGTTGGTTAGCATAACTACAGCTACAAGAAAATGCACGTCTAACAGATAAACAATGTTCAGCGTTCGTCACCTACTTAAACAATGTTCAGATTTCACATATGAGTCTGCGTGGTGGTCTCCTCTCCCGACTTGGGTACGTCAGTGCTGGGTGCGGTGACAATGGTGTCCCTGAGGGACTTGCTCCCTGCTCCCTTCAAAGCGTCTTCCAATGATGATTCTGGTGTCACCCCAGTTGTCTCGTGTTCCTCCACGTCACCTGCATCCGGAACTCCTCCTGCCTCGGATGCATTAACCAGTGGTTCAGAAGGACTCCACGCTCCACTCTTCACTTCGGCTTGGGAACTTGGGAAGTTCCGTGCGTAATTACCATCTTCCTCGCCCTCCCAAGAGCTTGAAGACTGGATCCAGCGAGCACTCTTCAAATGGTCCACGTGAACAAATCGTATTTGATCCTCACAGCAAACTAGGTAAGTGCGCGGACCTTTCTCCTGAGTGATCCTTCCAGGGATCCACCTTTCAACGCTACGCCGCCAATTACGAACCAAGACCACTTCATTCAACTTGAACTCTTGGAGTTTCACTCGTCCTTCACCGTGGTGCTCTTTCTGCCTCAACTGTTGCTCCTCCACTGCTCTGTTAAGGTTGGGTTTCAGTAATGTGAAACAGTTCCT